CAGCAATGATACTTGTTCTTTTAATGCTTAAGACTGTTCCAGTTTCTTGCCTCTCTACAATTAACAGAAGTCACCTGGGGCTGTGTTTAGGCCCCTACTCAGTAACGGAACCCCGCAGCGGAAGCGCCGCAGCCGCAGGCCGTGACCCGAACGCTGCCGTGGAAGCCAGGCGGGCTGCTTGCATGCTGTCCAGGGGGCCAGATCCACCCCGGGACCGTTCGGTGTTGCAATGCTGCGGTAAAGCAAAGTTTCAGCAACAAGGGGGAGCACAGTCTGGTGATGCTGGCACGTGGTCCGAGCTGACAGAGCAAAGGGGCTGTCTGCACTGGAAACCAGCAGAAAAGAAAGGCTGGGCTTGGGCATGTGCTCCACAGGGCGGTACTGCACACATCCCTGAGCAAGATAAAAAACGGCAGTAGACGCACACAGAGCTTGTGTTAAATAGGGCTTAAAGTCTGTATTTGTGCTTGCATTCCATTAAGGTCCTGGCTGCAGAGATGAAGCGCTTAAACCCTCATAGCAGCAGGGAGGAGAATGTAAGTGGCCTTAAAAAACATCTCTGTTTACCATTTTCAATTAAGCACAAGGGAAATGGCTTGCTTTGTGAAGCTGCGACACCCCAGTTTCGTGCGGGGGGGGGCCTTGCTGCGTTCTGTTTAAGTTGGTGTTTCACAGTCAGCCTCTGTAATACCTTCAGTCTACAACATTAGGAGCAGCGCTGACAGCTGTTTTCAGAGCTTAACAGCCAAAAGACAAACAGGTTCGTTTTGGTTCTGTTTTTTTCCCTGTTGTTTAAAACTTTGAAAATGAAAGAAAACAAGCAGGGATTTCTTACAGATTTTATGGCTTCAAGCGTGAGCCAGGCTCTGAGCTCTCCCTCACGACCCCAACGTTCATGCAAAAACTGAGCAGCCTGGAGGTGGGAGCCCAGCAATAAATGAGTGCGCTAGTGCTGACTGCAGCTGCATGCGGCACAGGGCAAGATGAGAGGAGGGGGCTGGTCCTGCACCCAGTTTCAGGTAAGCAAATTTTCTAACCTTGTCCCAGTAGTGAAATGGGGCTGCTGAAACACCGGGCGCCTCGCTGGCTGGAGCAAAGACACACCGAGACGAGGTGGCAGGCAGGGCACGGCGCCTGGTCCGCTGCAGGGCGGCGGCAAGTGGCTGGCGGTGCTGTGGCTGAGGAGCAGCCAGGGGATCCCAAAAAGCACCTGGCTCGCCACGCGCGCGCGGCCCTGCCCGTCTGCCCCTGCCAGACAACAGGCTGCCGGCGGTAGGACGCGAGAACACCAAATGCAGCCTGGGCTTGGTCACCCCTCCCCAGCCACGTGTGCGTGTGCAGCTCACCCGAGGGCAGAAAGCCCTGCGCCGGGGCGCTCGGCGGGGCGCGGGGTGGGAGGACGGCTCTTTGTGCGAAGGCGCTTGCAGTCTGCGCTCAGAGGACCAGCCAGCTCAGAGGCAGCTGTTGGAGAAAAGACTTCTGACAGCGGTGGGGTAATGACTAAGTAAGACGTTTTTATAGTTTCTCCAGAGATATTTTTTTTTTTTCGGTCTCCTGGCTGCCTAGCCTTTCTTTGGCTAGTCTTCATTGGTGCCTTGCGGGGCACTAGCTGGTTCCCACAGTGGCTGACAAGAACAGCTAAAAGAGAGGGCAGAGAAAACACGCCTACCCTTGTACTGGTAACCGCCTGGGCGGCCCCGGCAGCTGGCACGGGAGTGAGCAGCTGCTCTAGGCCAGCACATGAGACTGACCCCAAAGCAGCGCCGTGGTTCAACAGCACACCGCGGCTGGGAACCGAGCAGCAGCGCAGGAGCAGCTTTACAGTTCACCAGGCTGACCAAACCTTGGTTAATCCCGGTCCTGTCATCGCACAGGGGATTTCTGGCCTCGTTTTGACAACCTACCCCTCTCGCCCCCCAGCCTAGAAAAACGCTCTCCTCTTGCTCCTTCCTGTGAAATGCTGGATTGAGTTTCCATTCCTGGACGGCACCTTCAGGACAGGTGCGGCAGCTGGCTGGCTGGTTCACTCGGTCAGGCCCATCTGGAGTCACAGAAACCCCCCACACCGCCCCGGGGATCCGACAGAGCGGGAAGTCCCGACCTTAGAGCTGGGCGAGAGCTGCTCGGATCAGGCTGCTGAATGCATGGGTGCGGGAAAGGCCTGCAAAGCATCTGAGACGCGGCACTTCCAGAACCCTTTTGCGGCCGCACGTGCGGGAGGAGAGATGGAACAACCCCCCTCGGGGCGGGGGGCACCTCGGCTGCGCAGCACCAGCGCGTCAGCGCCGCCGCCGCCGCTCCAGCCAGCGGGTGTGCAAAGCCACTCGTGCCCCCAGCGGGCCTCTGCCGAGAGGAAGCGTTGCTGCTACTCCTGCTCTTCTACTAGGCCGTCAAATTCAGACTATATACAACATATATAGAAATAACTTTTAATTAAAAAAACCAACCTTGCATCAAAGATTATTGTATCCGACATTGAGGCAAGATTCAAGTTTAAGACAAACCAGTGTTAAAAAAGTGTTTAAAAAAATAATCAGAATGTGCAATAAACTACAATGTAGCAATAGGTTGTAGTGTTGAAACTTTACTGAACTGTTTTCAGATGCCCAGTGTATACTTCCTATCATTTTGACAAAAAAAAAAAAAGACACTAAAACCGGGTCATCTGTCCAGTGCCGTTCCAGATATTACAGGTGGAAGAAAATTTTGCACAGAAACAGAGACTCCTATTAAATTGCCTTCAACTGTTCTACACAGAAAAACTTCCTGTTGATGGATTATCCCTACATTCAATGTTTAATCATTGTTAATACCTCTTGAGATTGCAGATCTATGCTACTTAGATGCAAGTTTAAACCACTTGCTTTTGTTTGCTCACTGGGAACTCACTGGGAAATTAAAAATCTATCCAGAATCGCAACGGCAAGCTTTGGAGCTTTTTTTCTTTATTGGTCTTCTAGACATCAATCATCATCTCCTTTTCACCTAGTCACCAAATGTTGGCATACTTACGAGACTCTTACAAGGCACTGTACAGAAATTGGAACAAGACTTTGTCTTTAACATATTAAAGCAAAATATTATGAGCCTCTTTAGCTACTGAAGGACTAAGGAAGTAAGATGACCCAAACCACAATATTCAGAGAGCTGCGTCACTGGTTTGACTCGGCCCCCCTTCCGTTTCTCTACACCCACACGGCTGAAGCAGAGACGCCGCCTTCTGAGTAGCAGATACATCGACTAGTGAAATGCAGTGGCCTATTTCTATCTTATTGCTTGAGGACTTCTATATGAAACATGCCCTGGCACTACTGAGAGCTGAGTACAGATTTTAAGCTAGATGCAAGGCTTCCAGAACGCCTGCTTTGAAACTGCTGGTTCTCACCCACCCTTACCTCACGCAGGGGTTACACGCATGCAGCGAGGGGCAGATTTCTGCCCCGGGGTCATGCCACACAGGAGAATAATCTGAGGCTAGCGCTTTTCCCCACTATTGTTTCAAGTAGTTTTTCTGTGTTCAGTTGAAGTTGTTGGTTAAGGTGGACAGCATGTCCTGCTGCACCAGAATCCACTAGAACCAGAAACGCATTTGAAAACAAACAGAACAGAAAAGGATGATTATTAACAAATGTGGCAATGTGACAACAGAAAGCGAATGGTGCCAGCAATTTATGTGCGCCCACTCCCGACACTGGGAATATTAGACTTCCAGCTTGAAATAATTACTTTCTCTTGGGGTTCAGGAAGAAGAAAGTGTTGTCTTTGGGATTTATCCTGCCTGTTACAAAGCAAGAAAGAAAATATATTATATGCAGCTAACGTACAGGTTTTGAATTGTGCTGTCATATGCTGTGTGAACAAGAGAGATTTTACCTTACACTTTTCTCCACCTTAATTGGCTTTCTTAATGAACCACATTATTCCCTGTCACCTTTGTTTTCTTGTATTGTTGATTCCCAGGCAAATGTTTTCGCAGTCTTCCGTCTCGTCGGTAGATTGTTTTCTCGGTGGATGGCCATTGTCTGGCAAGCCAATGGGTGTGCATGAAGTACAGAGAGAGTCGCTGGGGAAAGCTGCACTTGACATTTCAGTCTGATTTGTTATTTGATCTTGGCACAGTAAAGCTTCTACCTCTTCATCTTTTAGTGGAAAAACTCGAAGTTCCCACAGCCCAGACTGAAAGGAATCAGAAGGGTAGGAGTGAGGGTGGAAAGAGAGAAAAGAGGGGAAAAAGGGATTTCAGTTGAGTCTGAACTGATTAGCTATGTGCAGAATGATCTGCTATCAAATAACAAATGAGTGTCTTTCTTTACAATGTTTGCAGGGCTCTTCAGATAAAGAATACGACACTGCTAGGCACCAGCTGTCAATGTAAGCTGGCTTCCTGCGGCTTTGAACTAGGAACAGAGCTGCCACTGAACAGGCGCACTACGGGAAGGGGGAAGCTCTGTTCCATGGGGCCAGACCATCAGGATACCTGACCCCGTAACGATCAGTCCTGTCTGCAACGCTGGCCGACGGCCCTGAAAAAAGATCCTGCACCCCTGAACCCAGGCGTGCCACGCTCACCGCAAAAACACGGGGCCCTGCGGACTGAGCAACGCAGTTTTCACCTGGTGACAAACGTCGGGCTTTATGAATTAAGCAGAGCAACCTAGTTCTAACCAGGAGCGCGGTGTGCAGTCCAGGCACACCAGGGTGACAGCCTGAGATTCTGCTCAGGGAGAAGAGGGGGATGCTCAGGTTTGTTCTTTCAGGTTAGAGGGAGTGGTCGCTGAAGACCTGACCAGACCTGGAAGCTCCTGGAAGCACCCACCTTCGCGTCCTGGCTCTCCCTGCAGCGTTGTGCAATCCCTGAACAGAGCGAGCCGTGGGCTTCCAACGGCGCGTCGGGGAGGGGCTCAGCAGCGCAGTGCAGCGAGGCGCAGGAGCTGCCCTGGTCCTTCTGCGCCGAGTCTTGGCTGTGTCGTCCGTCGGCATTTTTGCTGTAAGATCTAGCGCAGGGTAAGAGACGAGAGTCTTTTAAAAGCTGCTCCCCCCTGCCCTTTCACAGCGCCAGGAATAGTTCAGAGTTTCTTTTCAAAGCGCTCAGTTTCTCCCTACATGCCATCTACATTCTACTAATTTAAATCAGAGGGGCAGACGAAAACACACGTGGTTCTCGACAGCCTCCCTGTCACAAGCCGGAGCAGAGGAGCGTGCTACGCGGAGGAGCTACCCGGACAAAACAGGGCTGGAACAGGCACACTCCGGCTGCGGAGCAGCTGGTGGCTGGTCCCGCTGCCGTGCCTTGCTCCACACGCTCACCAGCACTGTGCTGTTGGACAAGGGAAGTCGGGGAGCCGTGGGCTGTTCCCGCTCGGGAGAACGTGGCACGGGTCTCCGGAGCCGGCGGAGGCCAGCCTGCCCCCCCAGCAGAGCGTGCCAACGTAACTCGAGGCGAAACAGCGGGTCCGCGGGCTCCCCCGCTTCCCACCTCTGCTCTGGACTCGTCTCCAAAGCAGTCAAAATGATTTAGTAAGATTAACGTTAAATTCTGACCCCACCTTCAGTGCAAATCTGAACTGGATAGAAAATGCTGGCACACATCTTTAGAATCCAGGTGGAAGCCTGACCTTCCTCGCGTCAATGGCAAGTTTTACTTCCGAATTCAAACAGCACTAAGTTTTCACCAAGGAGTTCACAGGGATTCAAAATTAAGGGTACGTACAAAACTTGTATTTTTCAGTATACTTTCTAAAGTTTTTTTTATGTTCAAAATGGCTTAAAATAGAGTTCCTTAATACAGTTTTGCTCTAAGTTTATCCTGCATTAGAATAAGCTATCTTTGCATATTCAGTCACAGCGTAATGGTCCACATTCAGCCAAGAGTAGACACAGGCATATAATCAATAGCAGAAAAAGTTATCCCAGCATTTACAGGATGCTTTTTGCCCTGGCAGATTCTGAAGCAAATTATGGGAATCATTTTCCCAGAGCCAACCTGCAGGTACAGCTTTATGACATTCACTCTTACATGCACTACTTTTTGCAAGACTTCTAGGGGTTATATTTAATTCTGATGAGTTTTGCACCAAACAGCAAACCTGCAAAAATTCACCTTTTTTTCCACAATGACTTTTTAAAGCGCAGGGTCCCTGGTACAGCCCAGGACGCCTCAGTAACGCGTCTCTGAATGCAGTGGACTTTCGTCTAAGTCAGGTGAGTGAAGAAGGGCTCATGTTACACTTGGTGGCTAAAGTCATCGTAACTGGGAGTGGCACAAACTAGCAGAGCTGTGTGTTCAGTACGGGAGGAAGATTTTTATTCACTAATAGCAGGTCATTAACGTGCCAGGTCTCTGTAAGTAGGCACGCTTCAGAACCGCCTTCGCCTTCCAGCCACAAACCCAAACATACCTGGTACTGTCCCCGACGAGCTAATTAAAGAAGAGCGCCCTCAGTTTAACACCTCTCTGTGACAGCCTTTCTGAAACTGCCGCGCCAACAACCAACACCAGGAGTTCAGTGGGAAAGCTCTTATCAAAGTCAATACACCTGCCTGCTATTCCTTCGGGGCCAGCGGCTCTGCTCCCACAGCGACCACCTTGCTCTCTCTCTTTCTTCATACTTTGTGTGACGTAAGGAAAAAACTTCATCTGACAGGTCTTCTATCTGTAACGAAATACAGGGATAGCGGCTGCCGTAATTATGAACAGCACTAGGAACAAAGGCAGCCAGTATTATATATAATACTGCAAAGGTCTGTTCACCAAGCAAGAGGAGGCAAGAGCATGCCTGCCTGCAGCATGAAGGCACATCAGAATACACACAGCCAGCTTACACTCGCACCAGAGCTCTGGTGTATGGGGTGCTGTCACTTTCACTTTCTTTACATGTCTGTGGTTGGTCTGAATGGATATAGAAACTATACCCCCCCATGCCACTAACACATTTTTCTCTACGGTGAGAGGCAGAAAATTAAGAAGACAGGTATTCATTTGCAAATCAAGGCAGTATTAAAAGCACAAAATAAAGACAAGCGAAAATTCCAGGAGTTTCCAGAGACTGCTTCAGGGGGAGGCTGGGATGCAGCAGGATTTGCCAGGTGCTCTCTACGGGTGGAGAAATAGGTCTGAGATCACCAAGGACTTCGATCGCTCCACACTGAGAGGAACTCAGCAAACCTGAGGTGCCGCATTCCTGCAGCGAAACCAAGCAGAAAACGGTTTCTGCTTTGAAGAGACTTATTTCTTCGCAAATCATTTGCACGACCCTGGTACAGCTTAAAACCGCACTACTGTGAGTACTTTAACTGCTCGTAGTCAAACAAGAGCCAGCTTATTCGGTAAAGCTCCTCAGAGGTAGCTATCGCATCTGACCTTCACTTTGGAAGAACCATCTTCGTGCCTCCGCTGGCAGCACAGCAGGAGGTTTGCTCCTTGGACACGACGCCGGGGCGAGGAGCACTTGGCTGCCCTCCCCCCTCAGGCCCCAGGTGGCAGGGCCAGCGCTTGGCTGGACCCCTCCAGCACAGCTCAGAGCTATTTCAAAGCGCTCCAAACCATTGAACCTCTTCAAAGTTCACCTAAAAAGCTCAGGTTGGCGAGAGCATGGGAGCGCTGCAGCCATGGATTCTAGGCCAGCCACTCCCAACTCAAAAGCAGAGCAATTCTAGGAAAGAACAATTCCTGGTCTTAGGAGCTGTGAAACTGCTCTGCCAGATCGGTCCTGGACAAGAATTACACCAATAATCAGGGGGAGGGAATTCTTTTCTATAAAGCAGAATCCTTAGTGGTATTTATACAGGTAACACCATTTACCTTCCGAGACTTCAGGGTGATCTGAATCGGCCGCAGGACCTGCTTGCTAAAACTGTAGCTGCCTGGTTCCTCCTCAGCCCAGCACTCAACAGGAACCTTCAGACAAACAGGCCTGATCTGTTTGTCCATCTCATGACTGCTTTTTGAAGACTCCTTGTTGCTTTTATTTATTTATGCTGAACGGAAACCACTTTGTTAGCTGCTGGTTTCCTTTCATGCAAGTCAACTTAATGGGTTTCCTTCTCTCTCTGGAATTCACCAGCTCCCTCACCTGGATGGCAATGATGCAGGGCTGCATCTCTGTTCAGATTCTGCCCTTCCAAGGTCAGTGATGTATAGCGTGAAAGTGAGAATTTTATGAACTACAAAAGTGCTGTTCCCTCAGGGAAAATTCGGGATTTTTCTGTGTGCTCAGATTTCCTTTGAAGTGGAAACAAAAGATAATTTTGAAAGAAAAACTTAGACTTTGAAAATACTTTTCTTAGCAAATTGCCAGAACTTTTCATGCTGGGAAGAAACTTCATTTTTAACAAGCTTCCTTTCAGAAATCAAAGTCCATGTTCCTTTCCAAGCAAAGAGTTTTGAAAAATACAGAAATAGGCCTTACTGTTCCTTTTCCATAGCTGGTGATAGCAGATTGAACTACTTGTTTATTTAAAATGAGTTTTACCCTATTCCACTGAAAACTAACAAGTAATACATTTTCTCATCTAAAAATTCTTCGTTCTATGGGTAAAATCACATCACATCAGACTAAAATGTCTCTCCTTGGTTCAGCACAGCTGCTGCCCCTCCCCAGCTTTGTAACGATTTATTTATTTCCTCCAACTTTAGGTTGATTTAAAGTTGCTATAACTGGAGATTTTGCTCTATTTTTTTTTCCCCAACTAAGGTTAGTTTGAAAAAGGACAAAAGAACTGTCATTCCGCAGTGGATGGACCTGGCAGTGGTGCTGAGAGAAAAGACTATTAGGGAGGCCTGTTTGTGAGGCATGTCTAATGATTTCACTCAAAGAAAAGGACTTAAAGCAAACTAAGATTTGGATCCCCCCCATCACATCTACTTAAGCTACAAGACGCTGTGCATTAGTGAATAGCACCAGGAATATTTCTGAAAGGTTCTCAAAACAACGAAGTCTGTGTTTCAGTCTTTGTCTTCACGGGAAACACTGAGTCATAAGCCATGAAAACATTTTTGCAAAACTAATTACACACAGAATTATTCTAAAGTATTTGACATTACTAAAACAACTACTGAATAAACTCGAACATTGCTTTACAACCCTGCCTTGCCAGAAACTTTAACCTGGACAAAACAAATTAAAACCAAAATAAAACAGGAAAACCTGTGCCACACCCTCCCATGCCTTAAAGCAATAACAGACTGCAAATTCCTACATGCACCAGGAAGCTCAAATGCTCTATTTCCCAAACCCAAGTATTTTTAGAGCAAGTAACAGAACAGACATACATAGTAGATTAACTTTTGTATTGCTCAACTGTTATGTTTGTCCTTCCAAGGCAAAATTTCCAGAAACAAAAACTAGACACCCAAAAAAGGTAAACTTTTTGTCCTCAAATAAAGGCCTGATTGTCAGAAAGTGCCGAGTTCCCATCCTTGGAAGTGTGGCTCCTGTGGAACATGACAAATTTGGGATCCCACATTTTTCTGTTATTCGTGGAAGCTTTGGGTGCAAGTCTACTGCATGCGTGCAGGTTGCTGCATTGAAAGCTTTTAAATGAAGAAAAAAAACCAAAAACAAACAAAAAAACCCCACAAAAATAATACTGCATGCAAGAAATCGCTAACTGCTGGTTGACACAAGGGCAACTCCAGAAGTTTGCCATGCAGGAGATACGGTAGAAAAGAAACTATTATAGAGTACCACCAGGGGCTACTACGCAGTGGAAAGCGAAGAAAGAGCTTACTTTATATAGAAGCAGAAAGTACATTTTGCCCTCTCTTGTCCTTAACAGACCTACTGAAGCTTGCCTCGATTTCAGTACAAGGAACAACTTCAAGAGTGTCAGTGTGTGGCTGCAGAAAATGCAAAAAGGTAATGCTGCTGTTTTCTCATGTCTTTTTTTTAAGCTCGCTCACTAACAAATCTTACTCAGCCTAAAACCTAACGCAAGGCAGTAGAGTAACTATGAACAGACAACCACCTTTTCCCAGTACTCTGAAAAACTTCCAAACCAATTAACACGATCCCCCCCAAAAAGGGGGAAAATTGGCAAAGGATGATTTAGACAAACAAGATCTTTGGCATTTTTCTCTTGTCTGACATCTCTCCTCTCTCATTCTACCCAGCAGCTGACAGAGAATACAGAAGCAGTGGACCACAGCAGGAGGGAAAGCTGCTTTATTGTTAACTCAAGTTATTTCCTGGCCAAAGGATGAATCATACAGGATCAACTAGTCATGCCAAATACAAATGTACTGAGAGGGCTACTAAATGAGCGATTAGCCCATGAGCTTCACAGAGAGACACCTTGAAGTCCCTTCAGCAAAATACGCTGGAAGTACTTGAGACAAGTCATCTGTATGGGATCTGAAATCCAAGTAAGAAATCCACCCACTCTTCCAGACAAGTCCCTTGAAGCCCTGAAAACAAATCACTGTTGAAATTCCTTTTTTTTTCCCCACAGATACCAGGACGAAGAGAGAGAGCGATGAACAGTAGATTCTCAAGAGACAGTGCGCCCTTGCTGCCTTATTAGTTATCCTCCAAATGGTTTAATTAAATAGCCTTGCAGGAGAGTTTCCCTGTCTATGTAATTTGACCTTCTCACTGCAAAAGATCAGGCATGTTTCCTTCTAGCAGAGGCGGTGCCACACCAGAAAGCAGCAGTGGAGGTGACATAAAGCTGACCACCAGATTTCACAAGAATTTCTCAAGTGCATGAGAAAAGCAGGGACAGAGTAAGTTTTTCTCTTCCTTCTGACCCAAGTGAGTGTAATACACCAGGTAGGGAGCCCAGACCATGATGCTCTCCGAAAGGAAAGGTTCATTTCCATGGAGCAGGCAGGTACGGACCTAGTGAAACTCTGAAGAAGCCGGCACCTTTGCGGAGAGTGTATTTTCTACCCCAAGGGCGTGGCATAATGATTTGGTCACTGTGTTTAGCATCACCTTCTGTACTTCTACCCAAACTAATTTTTTTCCTACTACTAAGGCACCTGGACCCCAGCTGTAGAGATCCTCTGAAAAAGTTGCTCAAGAACAGATACTGTGGATGAAGGTATGAATAGGAAGTGCTACAGTCGATAGCGGCCTGTAGCAGGGACTGGAGGGAGACTACAGATGTCCAAAGGAGAGCAAACTGGCAGCTTTCTGGAAAAGGAGCCACAAAAAGATTGAAAGTACAGAAAACCAGCCTAGAAACCAGACCTGCTGGCACGTTCACAATGGGGTTAGGGAATGCCTCAAACCCCTGATTAAGAGAGAAAGGGACACCCAGCTGCAAAGTCCACAGACTTTCCCTGGAAGAAAAAGGTAGATTCTTATGTCTGGAGGAAGCAGCAGTAACACATGATGTGCAAACTTAGCTCCAGCGGCAAGCAGGAAGTGCTGAAGGTCACGTTGTTCCTGACAAAGCAGAAAAAATAAAAGTTTGCTCCCAACAGGAGGGTTGAAGGAAAACGAACACTGACTGAGAAGAAGACTGAGGAGATCTGCTGGGCCCACAGGCGAAATGCGAAATTGCCTCCTGAAGAGCAGCCGGCCACGGGAACTGGCTGGCAAAGAAGAGGATGAGAGAGGACAGGCGTTATAGCCCGGGTAGCCCCAAAGTGACAGTCGCACTGGGAGACCCAGCACCACAACGCCGGGGAGCAGGGGAGGCGGAGGGGGGGCTGACCAGGGGGCCCTGTGGGCACGTGGGCTGTGCCGACAGCTGGGGCCGGGAGAGCCACACAAACAAGTGAACAAGTACTGTTCATGGAGAGACTTACATTTCTGTCGTCCATCACAGGGTTGAGTAAGTTGGGATAAGACATATTTTTACAATCTGACACTTAACACTTTATTTTTTGTAATTAGAAACTTACCAGGATTTATGTGAAGTCAGAGACTTTGGAAAATATATCCCAATTATCTCAATTACATATTATATCTAGTTTAATTAAAAACTGGTGGTTTAATTAAAGTACAGCCTACCTCTTCTTCATCTGTATGAGATCTTTCTAATGGTTGAAATTCAACAACTCTCCAGCTAGAAATGAGACAAGAAAAGTCAAATTAATTTACCTAAATGCTGTTTCATTATTTCACCAGTAGAGATGACTCTTCTGTTTCTCTATATTATCTTGTTAGTTACTCCTGCTCGTGTTTCAAAATTTCTTTCAAATAAAATAATTTCAAATTTAAGGTGCTGATAACAGATGCCCAAAATTTAGATTTTCCTTTCCCAATCCAGTATCTAACTTCTCCTTTTCCCGATACAGTCTTTAAGCCTTTAAGCTATCCAAGAGAGTCCTTATAATAGTTTTAGCTTTAAAGACAATATAAAAGCAAATACAAATTAGAGAGATTTAAAATATGGAACAATTGCATTTAGGCATTTCAGTCAATTTGCTAGTAAGCCTCTGAATTACGGCACAGGAGATCAATTACCCTGTTTTAGCATCTAAAGATGTTCTTTTCTTAAAGAAAGAAAGAAAAAAAAGAGATGTCATTGGAATCATGGATTATATGTTTACACTGTATGGAAAAAAAGCTTATTCTACTGTATCGGAATGGATAAATTTTAAAAATATATTCTGAAACCATTAGTTAACTACTTCCCTTATGAACCATAACACAAAAAAGACAGCATTCTCTAAAGAACCCTTCAGAGCACATCGGCCTTATGGCACATTTAAGGCCATGAATATCACTGCAATTATGATGATATAAACCCACTTCTATTTTTAGGCAGCCTGTGCATCTGCCACCTCCCTGTGTGTATCAGAGTCTTTCCCTTGTGCTATCAGCTGTCCAGTCTTCCCACCACTCCAGTCACACAAATTGGAAGTACACAGAAAAAATGTATGAGCACATCATCTTAATATTATAAAATTATCTAACTACATGTCAACAGTATTCTTAGTTAACGTTCTCATATTCATTTTCTGCAACTAAGGGGGTCATGAACAAACCTTGGGGTAAGGATTTCTTTGTACTGTAGTTTCTCCAACTTCGATGGTGCCACCAGCGACATCGGAATAACAATGTTGTCTATATCATAGGAGCTCTCGCTTCTCAACCTCCTCCTGGAGTTATGCTGTAGAATATAATCAATGCAAGGGGGAGATTCATCAGCTCAAATCATAGGAACTACACGTTAGCTGAAAAACATCAGAACTGCATGAGGAGAAAGTCTGTAACTTGAACACATTTTCTACTGGCTTAGTGACTCTCGACTTCCCCCGCTCCCCAACGGAATCTCAACAGCTTTTATAACTATCTCATCTCTGAGATTTACTTCTTGCTGGCATAACTCTTACTGAAATCTGTGGAAGTTTCCCTTCCTTCATGTCAGTTACAGTTAATTCTCAGTACTTATGAAAACTTTGAAGTTAATGCTGCCTTCTTCGTAATGTTCAGTCTACAATGACGACCTTCTACAATCTGTCTACTAAGCCATAACCCACGTGGTTCTTCAGTGTGATACAATTAAGAATTCCAAAAGAATGAAGCAGCGTTTTGCAGCAAAGAGCAGCCTACATGGAAAGTGGTTTTCTGAAAGATGTGCAAAAGACAGAAACTGATGGGTGGTGTTTCTGGTGTTTTCTGCCCACTCGTGCATGGAACCTACACGGGTCAAAAACTTCCTCGATTTACAGGAGAAAGTTTCATTTTAAATCATGGTATGTTCCCTATTACAGGATCTCAATTTTTAGCTGAACATTAATGGAAGCGGTCTACTCTAAAATGCTGATTTAGGGGTAAAAGGAGGAGTGTGCATTGCCAAAACTGCAGATTTAAACTCTGCTCTCCAGGAGTCACCACCAGATTGAAAGATGACAACTGACAGAGCACCAGTATACCACTAGGCTTAGCAGAACCGCGCAACCGAAATCTGAGTAGCATTATGAAATTCCCAGTGAATTCCAGCAAAACAGAGTGTTTGTGCAGGGACCTCATTGAACCAGAGCCCTGCTGCTCCTCAGCAAGTTTATATACCTGAGACTTTGCCTGTAGCTCTGTACAAAAGGTTTTAAATAGCAAAGCTGAGAGTTAACAAATTCTGTGACTGTATTTGCACTGTGAGGCCATTTTATGTAGCTGCACCAAGAAAAAAGCAGCATAAAAGCCCTTGTGTAAAATTTGGAACATAAGTCACAGTATATTTAATGAAATTTTGGGGGGAAAGAAAAAAAAAAGAAAAGCCCAATACCAATAAACTAAATTTACACTCCTGTTACATGATCTGCAAAATTCTTTTACAAGCAAATCTCTGTTTTAGGAACACCACATACTCAATCTGGAATAGATTACTTAATGTAATCCACTTAATTCACTGTAAAAATGCTCTGTACTGTAATTTAACACTAAATTAGATGTAGAAGGCGTGTGGTTTTGGATTATTAATTTGCACGACTCTCTGTTGATGTTTCAGCTAAGACAGTGATACATTTTTGGTTTACCTGTGATGAAGTGCTCTGGGTGGGCCTAGACATCGCATTGACATTCGTCACGGCAGCAAAACTGCTATGGGATTCTGGTTCTGCATGTTGAAAGGAGAATGTCTCAAACCTAGCATTACGTTCGCCTGTCACAAAAAACAGTAATAAAAAAAATGCATACCAGCTGTTGTCTATTAGGCTAAAGATATTTTTCCATACAGTAACAGTAAAGTCATTTCTAGAAGCCCACAGCTAACCAGTTACAATTTACCGAATACTAAAAAAAGCCATCTAAATAAACACTTGCTACTCATTTTGTCATTGTTCCACAAAACTCATCCCTCTCCATCTACAAAGGATTTCTTCTCATGGAACCAGCTTCACGTGGGCAAACCCTGCTTCTTTTTTCAGGAGCTGCCACAGACCACACACATGCAGCAAATGCAATCAGACTCAGAGGAACGTTCCCCAGTGTTCCCTGACAGCGCTTCCCTAGCGGGGTGCGTCTCACTGCCCTACCAGTTCACTGAGCCCTCACTGATGGTTTCTTCCTTGATAAATAAAATAAAACTGGCAGCAATGGTAACAAACACAGTTAGTTTCTAGATTTCCATATGTGGTTTCGTCTAGTAGGGGTCCACTGCTCCAGACAAATCATAATTCTTGCTTACTCTTATTCAGCCCCAGTGTAAGCAGCACTTAGGGGGATTCAGAATTTAACCACCTGTGTTCTTTCCTTCTACACGGATTTCTAGTAAGAAAAGAGATCTCTGAGTTAACATATGAACTAATAGTAAGACTCGGTGTATTCCCACATGGAAAAAGAGGTAAGATTGATCCTAAAGACTGTATTGCATAGGCTGGGTCAAGGACACGAACTCTCATCTCCCAGGCAGCTCTGCAACTCCCTGGCACAGAGCTTTTATTTTTGGCCTTGTTCATCAGGCTGACCTTCCCCACGGATAATTTCTCCTAGACAGAGCCCAAATTAGGAATAAATATGTAGTACTACACCCGTAGCACTAATAAGCTAGAACTGCTGCTGCTACTCAGGAATATACCACATAGCAGTTTTCTGGCATTGGGAAACTATGATCCTCATGATAAAAGACTGCTTTTTTGTTCCATTAAATCAAAGAACTAAATACTAT